AGAAAGTTCCACATGCTGCTGAGAAGAAAGTCTACTCTGTTGTTAGGTGGAGCACTCTGTAGTTGTTTATTAAGACCATTTGTTCAATGGTATGGTTCAACTCTGATATTTCTTTGTCGATTTTTTTTTAATTTATTTGATCAATTTGTGATAGTGAGAGATTTAGGTCCTTCACTATAATTGTGCTGATGTTTATCTGACTTTTTTGAGACAGGGTCTTGCTATGTAGTTCAGGCTGGCCTCAAACTCACAGTGATTCTCCTACCTCAGCCTCCCAAGTGCTGGGATTACAGGTGTGTGCCACTACAACTAGATTTTTCTGATCTTTTATGTCCAGTAGTAAAGTTTGTTTTATGAAGCTGGGTGTGCCAATGCTCAGTGCCTATAAGTTTATAGTAGTTATCTCTTCCTATTGAATTGTTTCCTTACCTAATATGTAGTGACCATCTCTGTCTCTTCTGATCAGTTTTACTTGCAAGTCCACTTTGTCTGAAAATAGGATAGCTACTCCTTGTTTTTGGGCTTCTATCACATGGCATATTTTTTCATCCTTTGATTTTTAGTCTATGCATTTCTTTTTAGATTAAATGTGTTTCTTGTACACAACACACCATTAGGTTTTATTTTTCAATTCAATCTGGCAATCTGTGTCCTTTGATTGGGGAGTTGAGAACATTCACATTAAAAGTTATTAATGAAAGACATCAATTTATTCTTGTCATTGCATTATTTTCCTGTTATTAATTTCTTATCCCCCACCTTTCTCCTTAACTGCTCACTCTTCCTGGTATATTCATTCCATTAGACTCTGACATTGTTTGCTTCATAGTATTTTTCTAGTACAGCCTTGAGAATTTTTTGGAGTGCTGATTTGGTGGTCATGAATTTCTTAAAGTGCTGTTTGTCATGTAAAGACCTTATTTTTCCACCAATTTTGAGAGACAGTTTTGCAGGATATTTCAGTTGGGGGTTGGAAATTATTTTCTTACAGCTTGAAACACTTCACTTCAAGCTTCTGACCTTTTATGTTTGTGTTGAGAAGTCATTTGTAATTCTAGTGTGTTTACCTTTATAAATGATTTGTTCCTTTTAAGATTTTTGTCCTTGTGTTGGACTCCTGGGATTTTGACTATGATATGTACAATTTGGTTATAATGTGATCAGTTCTTTTCTGATCATGACTTTTGGAGTTCTGTGTGCCTCACATACTATATGTTGAATTCTTTTCCTATATTCAGAAAGTTTTCTGCTATCATTTCTACAAATAGGTTGTTTTTTTTTTTGGTTTTTCTCCGGTACCAGGGACCAAACTCACGACCTTGCGCTTGCCAGGCAGGCGCTTTGCCACTGAGCTAAATCCCCAGCCCCTACAAATAGGTTTTTTATATCATTTGTGCTGTTTTCTCATTTTTCACTAGTTCCACTTAATCTTAGTCTTCTTTGCCTTATCTAGCAACTGTTGGAACCATTTTCCATGTTCTTTTGTTGTTTTTAAGGTGTGTCTAACTATATGATCACCTGCATTAGTCCCATCTTCTAAATCTGACACTCTGTCCTTACATTGGTCACTTCTGCTGCACATACTGGCAATAACATTTTTCATTTCCTGGTTTTCTCTTTGGTACCTTTTCATGGTCTCTAATTCTGCACAAAACTGGTCATTCATGTTTTATATAGTTTTGTTTAGCTCAGTTAGCTTTTTATTAGTGAGCTCTGTAAGTTCACTGATCATTTTGTTTATTAAATCCATCATCTGATTAGTTACATTATCTTTGAGCTTGCTAAGCCCCTTACTGGTCTGCTTTTTGTCTCTTCTATCATTTTTTTTGGGGGGGGTGGTTGGTTTTTTTCCAGTACTGGGGATTGAATTCATGACCTTGCACCTGCCGGGCAGGCACTGTGCCACTGAGCTAAATCCCCAGCCCCTCTTTTATCATTGTATGTAATTCAGCTGCTTGACTTTTGGTTTCCTCCCCATCAATGCCCCATGGATCACTTTGGGGAGTTTTGAGGTTTTAGCAGCATTTTGTTGCCTTGTCTTTTTGTTTCTAATTGTGGGGCAGAGGGTGCTCACTGAAGTTTGTGAGTCAAATTTTTTTTTTTTTTTTTTTGTCTTTTTGAGACAAGATCTTGCTATGCAGTTCAGGCTGGACTTAAATCACTTTGTAGTTCAGGCTGGCCTCAAACTCTCAGCAATCCTCCTACCTCAGCCTCCCAAGTGCTTAGATTACAGGCATGTGCCACCACGCTTGGCTTGGGTCAATTTTTTATAGTGAAAAGTCTTTTTGATAGTATGGAGATCTCTTTAGAGTATGTCTGCTTTTCAGTGATATACTCTGGACATGACCTCTGCCTCTGTCTCAAGATCTAACCACCTCCATTAATTTGGGATGGAGGAACCAGCATAATTGATCCAACACACAGTTCTCCAGAAATGAACTGTAGTATTGTTAATGACTCAAAGACAAGCCAGACATTGCCATACAGTAAAAACCAATTAGTAGGAACAACTATACCATCCTGGCAATAGCAATAAAATCAGCCACAATGGGAGAGTCAAAGACAAACTGGATACTGATGTAAGAACCATAAAAGCTATCATTATACCAACCTTAACCATAGAACAGAGATCTATAATTATAATATAAATATAAAGACAAACAAAATATTGACATGGAGTAAATATCTACTAAATATAACAACCACAATACCATTAACAATAGAAAACAATTCAACAATAGTAGCATTGTCTAAAGATTAATAAAGCTTAATAGCAATACTAGTAGAGAAGAGGGTAGGGAAGGGGGAAATGAAAGAAGCAAAATTTGAACTATAAAAGAAAGGAAGATGAGGAAGAGAGAGAGTAAAATCCTATTAAGGAGTAAAAGACAATTAATAGAATTAGATAAAAGTAACAGAAAAGAGCAAACATGAAAAAGTAAAAAGAAAAAACAGAAAGCAAAAAGAAAAGAAAAAAATCTCAAGCCAGTGAAGAAGAAGAAGGAGAAGGAGAAAGGGTCGGGGAAGGGGAAAGGGAAGGGAGAAGGGGAAAAAGAAGAAGAAACCAAAATGTGCTTTTAAAAAATGACTGTATGCATTTGAATGAGTGGTTTCTTTCCAGGGTCTACGATACTGGAGTCTATCAGATATGGGGCAGGCAACGGGGGATAGTGAGTCACTGCTAAGACCAATTTTTCTTCCACACCCACTCTTTTGTATGTGAATGCTGAGTCCTGCTCCACCTTTCTCACCGGGCATTGTCAGTCAGTGGCTTCCCCTCTAGGGCTCTAGTCACTCCAGGCAGCTCCCTGGTTCCATATTCCTCTGTGTGCACCAAGTCATAGCTTTTTCTGCCTAGTTTTATGTCCTGTGGGTTTATGAGGTACCCACCTTTCTCCAGAGGCCCCTCTGTCCACACACCCAACATTACAGCAGCCATCCAAGCTGAGGCACATCCTTACTTATGTTGGTAGATGGAGAAAACAAACAGATCATTAAGCCCTGTGCTGAGTATAGAAAGCAGGGCAGGGATTCAAACATACCACTGGACTTCATGCCATTTCAGACCCAGCCGCTTCTGAAAGCCACACATTAGTGGCCTGGTTTTTGACCACAGAAGGTGGAGCCCCAGTGTTACTGGCCTGAGCTTAAACTTCTCAGGGCTCGATGTCTAGTCCATGCCCTCCCAGCAACTGTCTCCTGTGGATAGCTCTCACCCAGTCCCTGTGGTCGGATGACACCAGAAACCCTAAAGTGTAGCTGTTCTGCAGCTTAGTCTTAAACAGTTAGCCCCTTCCCAGAATGGCTCCTGATTAACTCCTCTCAAATATGGCAGGTGCTGCACTGGATTTCTTCTCCAGCTCTAGCCTGCTATACAAAAGGAGTTCCTTTCAGAGTAAAACCCCATGGTGTTTTCGCAGCTTCCAGAAGCCATGTGGTTTTCTTGGGTCTGGTGCTGTCAGCCTAGTCCACCGTTATTCCCTGGAGCTGCGGGCCCTCTCTGGGCTCACCTTGCATCAGCGGAGTCAGGTTCTCCCTTTCTTGGAGCCAGGGTCAACTTTCCAGACTGCTTTGTTCCTTTCTCTGCATTGTGCTCCATTTTCTCCACCTTTGTGCAGTTGCTAGTTTTCCTGTCGGCTCCCGTGTGGTTCCTGAAGATGTGCTTCTTTTTTTTCTCTTCTCCAAGTTGTTGTTTTCCAGGTGCCTCAATTTCCAGGTCCCAGAGAGGCTGCACTTTGCTATCAATCTTTTGAATTAGGTTATTATGTAACAGAACACATGACTTCTACAACCCTCATAAGAACAGAGATTCTATCCTTCCAAACCAAGTTTGAAGACAACACGTGCCAGGAAGAACCAACTCAGGACTTAGGAAGGCATTGTGGAGGTGGCTTCTCTGTGAAATTTCATCCTGTGTCAGAAGGAGAAATTCTTTCTGACCTTCCTAAGTCATTCTCTAGTACTCATGTCCAAGACAGGTGCTTGTTTTGGGACTTCACTGGATAGTCCGAGGGAAAGATGGCTCCAATTTTGAGGTCTGAACTCTGTAGAAAATTTAATCCGAAACCACCAGTTATTTCTTAGAGAGTTTTGACTCCTGAGACATACAGGCAGCCACTTTGTTCTAAGGCTCCGTGAAATTCTCATTATGAAGAAGAATGCCTATTTGTTGAGTATAAATAAGAAACCAGTCAATGCAAAGGGGCACAAGGGAACTTTCTGGGGTGATGAGTGCCTGTCTTCATTGGTTGTGTGGATAAAGACGTTTGTCAAAATTCATTGAATTGCACACTTATGGTACTTCCATTTAAATTTATGTACTTTTTACTTTTCAAAAAAAATTACTCAGCTCCTTAAAACAACAACAACAACACATTGGGTTTTTTGGTACCAGGAATCAAAATCAGGACCTTGCACTTGCCAAGCAGGCGCTTGTACCACTGAGCTAGATTCCCCAGCCCAACACATTATTTCTAAATGTAGGTTTTATTATTTTCCAGGTATTGTGAGGCCAAGAGACGAGGAGACAATCGCACTGAAAATATCGTCGGTTACCCACAGTTCTAAGAGAAGGGGCCATGTCATGCCATGCAGGAGGCAGAAGGGGGGTGGGTATGGTCAAGAATTTTTATATTGTGGTTTCTGTAGGAGGAAGGCAGAGCAAGTAGGCTAAGCAGATTTAGGATTGATTAATTTGAATATTGTGGTGGGCTCTAAGTTATCGGTGCGGCTGGCCCTAATTGCCTGGTACTGGCCCCGGAGTGATTACGACAGGGGGATAGTGGTCCATGCATGTAATTGCTCAGTGAAGGAGGTAATTAGAGGTTAGGACTCTGGGTTGGTCGGTTTGGAGATGACACATTCTCTCATGGACAAGTCACTCGGGATCTCTAGGAACTGGTTTGTCATGAGAGGGATGGTCAATGGCCCAGATGCTGAAACATCAAATAAAGAGACACTTGAGACAAGACCAGTCACAAAAATGGGTTAAATCTGATTGTCTCCCACCGTGACACTGACAGATAGGCTGGCAAGACTGCCAGGCCAGATTCTTTTTTTTTTTTTTTAGAGAAAAGAACAAAAATGAAATAACAAAAACAAAACAACACAAAAACTATAAAAATGACACAGAATTTCAAAACAAGATGATAGGAAATTAGCAATGGTTGTTGTATTACATGTTGCTATCTTCAAAGCAGTTGCTCAGGTTACCAGAGAAACTACTCAAATGGAAAGAACAACTGGGATGAGAGAAAGGAGAAAAGAAAGACAGAAGGAAGGGAAAAAAATACATATATATACACAAGTTAGCTAAGATAATTGTACTATTAATTTCTATTGGTTTATTGAAAGGAACAGATTCTTAAAGCTATTAGTGTGAGCTTGCTGGCATATTGTTATGTGAAAAACAATAAAGTATAAAGGCAGTGGATCTACCAGGTCTTTCCTTCCTTTATGTGTCAGTGAGGACTCTTACAGTTACATGTGTTAGAAGCCTACCTCATACCACGTTAGGAAAGGAGGAAGAGAGGAAGGGAGGGAAGAAAAGGAGAGAGGGAGGGAAAAGAGCTCATACAAGAACCAGCTAAATCCAGGACCTCAGAAAATATCATCTGGTGCCCATTAACAGAAAAAATGCATAAAGAAAATGTGATATTATATATATATATATATAATGGAATATTATTCTGCCATAAAGAGGAATTGAATTATGTTATTTGCAGGAAAATGGGTGGAGCTGGAGATCTAATGCTAAATGAAAGAAGTCAGACACAGAACATTAAATATTGCATGGTGTCTCTTACATGAGAAGCCTAAAATATCAATATGAAATGAGTAAAATAAAGAAGAGGTGGTAGGAAATAAGAAGGCAGACCCTTAGCAGATGGGGAGAGGGCTTGGGGAGGGGAGAGATAAGGCAGGTGGATAAAGGAATCAGAAATGATCAAGATATGCTACACTTGTGTACTGATTTTCCAAAATGAATATCACTATAATGTATTGTAAACATACATAATAAAAGAAAATCTCATCTGGGCAGCATTTGACTAAATCTCTCAGCGCTGTGAGCCCCTCTTCCCCATGACTCTTACCCCATGCCACAAAGGTGCCCTTCTGCAGTCCCGTGGCAACTCCCTACCTGCTCAGCTCAGCAGAAAGGATTTGCCTCTTGAGAGCTCCTGCCAATGCGCCAAGAGCCTTTGCTGTGTCCACTATGGGGACAGGCACCTGGCTAGAGCAGGAATGGCCCTCTCTAACTGCAGGCTTCAGGCCCAGGCCCACCCGGACCGCACAGCATGCGCAGAAAGAGAGGAAAAAAAACAGCCCTCCACTCCAACCTGGCTTTCTCCTTGCCTCCTAGGTGCTCCGCGTCCTGAGTCAGAACCAGAAGGAGAGGCCAGGCCTTTATGGAGGCCTCGCCGCCACAAGCATGCCTCCTCCGAAAGGCCTAGGGCGATCAGCGTGCGTCTCCCGGTGCACCACAGCAGAGAGACTCCCTCGCCGCCAGGTAGCTCCTGCCTCCCACCAGCGTCCCGCAGGCATCTCAGTCCTAGGGGCAGCGAGGCCAGACAGCCAGGGGCCAAGAAAGGCCGAGAAATGGGAGGCCAGAGGCGTGGTCACCGAATCGCAGCCGCCTGCAGGCGCCTCTCGCTCGCCCAGCAGCTGCCTCGCCGAAGTGCTTCAGCACAACTGACCCTGTGTCTGGCTCGCAATTACTTACGAAATCATCCCCTGCTGGGTTTTCTGGTTGCAAACGGAACATGGCACCAGATTCACCAAAAAACTGCTGCCCACCTTTGCAGTTAATCTTGTTTTTAAGCAATTAAATGTCCTTTCTAGTCTGTTCACTCATTTAAAAGTCCATAATATCGAGGAAATGCTTCACAACAATTTTTCAGAGCATTCCTTGACCATTTGAAATTATATAATGGAGTCATCCAAATGTGTATTTTAATGTGTGATGTACCTTGGGAGTAATGGACCATATTTAGGAAGCTCACAGTTTTCAGAAAACCAAAAACCAAACCTTCTTTTCAAAGGACACAAGCAAGGTGACAGTGCTGCAGATGTCCAGTGACCACTGACCAGTGGTACTCGATGCAGAAAGGCATGCATCAGCTTGTATGAAGTTCTGCCTCCCTGCCAAGCACTGCTCTTGGGTTTTTTGTTGGTTTGTTTTGTTTTATCTGGGGGAGGTGCCGGGGGTCGGAGCAAGGCCTGTGACACACAAGGCAAGCACTGTTCCACTGCACTATATCCCAGCCCTTTTATATTTTTATCTTTTCTTTTTCTTTAGTTTTTTCTGGTACCAGCCAGGAATCAAACTCACGACCTCATGCTTGCCAAGCAGGCACTGTGCCACTGAGCTAAATCCCCCTACCTTTATATTTTTATCTTGAAACAGGGTCTCTAGCACTAAATTGCCCAGGTTGGGGTTGAAGTTTTGATCTTCCTGCCTCAGTCTCCTAGCATGTGGACATCATAGTCGGATACCACCACAACCAGTTTGCTTGCTTATTTGTTTGTTTGTTTGTGGTAAGGTCTTGCTCAGTTGCCCAGTCTGTCCTGGAACTTGAGATTTTCCTGTCTCAGCCTCTCAAGTACCTGGCATCACAGTCATATGCCACCACGCCCAGCTCTTTTGTTGCTTTAAATATATTATCTTAGCTACTCCTCACAACAATCCTGTGCTCACTCATTTTGCAGTTAGTTTTTTGTTTTTTGGGTTTTTTTGTTTGTTTGGTTGTTTTTTTTTGTTTTTTTGCGGTACCAGGGATCGAACTCACGACCTTGCGCTTGCCAAGCAGGTGCTTATGCCACTGAGCTATATCCCCAGCCCTTTTTT